TTGTCTGTTTCTTAATAATATAATCTATATATATATATATATATATGTATATTGATATACACACACGCATACACACATATATGTGTGTATCTATGCCTTTGTGTGTTTGTGTGCGCGCTCATGTGTGTGTGTGTGTTTCTCTGTATGTGTGTAAAATACAACACGACTTGAAATTGAAACATTTGAAATTTTAAAAATCTATTGCTTTAATTTAAATAATTTATTTGGAATTACCATAAAATTCGAAAATACAAGTATTTTCTTTTGGTTTTATTTTTGTCACGTAAAACAAACTTTAAAAATTAATTATATTATGGTTGATGTTTGCAAATATAGCATTTTAAAATCACTAATCAGAGCCTTTAAAAAATAAAGTAGCCGTTATAGAAATATAGGCCTTCTTGATAATTTGCATAATTTAATTCCTACTTAACTGGATTTTGAAACAAATTACTTACTTTTCACTTACATTTTGTAGGGAAATAAATTAGCAACCTATCCCTGTTATCTATCAATTCCAATATCGCTACTGAGTATACCTTTCTTAATCAGTGTTAAATATATGCGCTTAAGTATGTGTCATTAAACTTGTGTGTTCCAGAGGAGAGCTGATGTATGGCTGTCATATAATGCGCAAAATTATCACTTTCTCGCATCCGTTACAAAAAAAAGATAGAAAGTGAAATGAGTCTACTAGTGACTGTTCCACTCACTTCGCAGTATGGGCCTCACAGAAAGCATAACGGATTCTTCGTTCAACTTGGGGATATACAGCAGGGCTGGATTCTTAAGTTTTTCTAGGGAATCAGTCGGGCCGCCGAAAGGCTACATCGAATTAAAAATATATCCTGAAGAGAGATTGTCTCCATCAAGCTATCACCCTAGACACACACACGGTTGGTACAGCTGCATTAGAAATGATGATTTTTACAACACACAAAATTTTGAAAGTGATTCGTGATAGTGATCCTGATCAAACCCAGTCTATTATAACTTCGATCTCACGAAAGCAAGGATTTGAAATGAGCTTATCAAATCTGCAAAAACAGTCTTCTTCTTCTACGTGCCGAGTTCTTCCAGAATGTTGGTGATCATAGCTCTCCACAATTTCCTGATCATTATAATTCTTAATATTTTTTGTCTTTTCGTTATCTCTCCAAAACCCTGTTGCACAATCCATTTACTTAAGCTCATTAGGTAGGTTATGCATTGTTTTACTCTGTCCCTCTTACCTTCAATCTGCCTTATGAGTGTCACATTTTCCAAACCTTCTTTCCTTGTTATATGCCCTGAGGGATTCAATTGTCTGTTAATGATGTTAAGTCTCATTTTTGTTACAATTTTCTTTAAAACCGCACCATTGCTCATATGATTGGACCATGGTATTCTCAGCATACTTATATATATATATATGTATATGTGTGTGTGTGTGTGTGAGTGCGTGCGTGTGTGTGTAAATAGGATACAGAATCCAGTTTGAAGAATATGACAAATAGCAAACTGTTTCACTGAAACTATATTTTGCGTTTCACCCTTAACAGACTTCATTAAATTAATTTTAAAATTTCATTGCTTGCATATTTTGATTAACGCCGACTATGCATCGTACTGACTTAGCAAATGGTTATGCGGAGCTCTTTAGCTTTGGGTGGAAATCAATCTGTAAAAAGCCAAACTGAATTACAAACCTGTCTATATTTCTGAGATGAGGTTTTATGTACAGTATTTACATTAGTCGGACTATTGTCCTCATCTTTGTCGCCATATTTGTCACAACGTTTCGGCCTTCTTCAGGTGGTTGGAATTTCGAACTGAACCCTTTATTTCGATCACTGGGGTAGACTGTTCTAGTTCCACGTGCCATGTTTGATGGATGTCAGTTATCAGTTATCTCCTGCTAATTTTCCCTCTGAAAGTTCTCCACTGCCTTAACCAGGAATTGAACTCACCTTCTTTGGGTCTGTCACTGGATCTAACCAACGCCTTTATCCACGGTACCATGTGTCCTTGAGGACATCTGGGTATGAACTTCTGAGTATTATAAGCCTAATGTTTTCAGCATCATTTTTACCAGTGCTCATATTGCAATTTTTGCTGTTATCATTGCATGTCTTTACCAGAGTTCATATTGCTTTTCTCTGGCACTCCTTATTACTGGTTCCCATATTGTATTTATTTCTATGTATGGTCGGCTCAGGAGATTTTTGTGGCCTAGCATATGAAAAAGGGAGATATATGGTGAATCGTTATCTCTTATGCACTAAAAGAAAAAAAAACTCCATGTGTTTGTAAAAGTCTTTTTTTTTTCTACTTTGAAATTTCGTTTTTATGTTATTGTTGTTGTGTCCTCCCTCTTAAGAGTCTATGTTGGGCTCTTCAGCCTACTATAAGATTAGTAGGAGAAAAAGCCTTGGGGGAGCAGTCGAATAGATTGAACGCTGGGTCAACCGACAGAAACTCATTTTGACAGGTTTGACTTTCCAATACCGCAATCTGTGCCAGAGTTCAGAAGGCCCAAAAGAAAAAGAGACTTTTCGGAACCTTTAGAAATTAACCTGAAAAGAATATGATATTGAACATCTTTCATTTCATAGCATGTCTGCAGAAAAAGAAAAAGAATGCGTAAAAAAAAAATTCCTCACTTACGAACTTCGAATTATAAAAAAAAGCACATTACGCATTGGATTATTGGAAATTAACATTATAATTTACCATTAAACTTATCCAATTTTTCATTATTTAGAAATAAGGAACAGAGACCTTAATAAAAAAAAAATGACTGTTGTTAACACGTAAATTGTTTGTTGTAAAACTAAAAACAAAACAAAAAAACTTGTAAACGTATTTCCTGTATATAGCTTTTTCAAAGTGGTTGTTCTGATTTTTTTGTGAAAAAGGGTTTATTTGGTTGAATAAAAAGTATTGTGTGCTAATTATAAAAAAAGAAAGACTCCATACGGAGTCAGGCTGAAAGGGGGGTGCTGTAGTGTCCTTCCTCTAAAGAGTATATTTTGGACTCTTCCGTTTACTATATTAGTAGGAGAGAAGGCCTTGGGGGAAAAGTCGCCTAAATTGTTCAACTGTCAAACTCTGCCTCTGCAGAGAGGAACTCGGACGAGGCTTTGCCGCAGGGTAAAGTTTCATCCGGGGAGGTAGACAGTTCCTGAACCCGTCTAGGCGGGTTCAAAGGGAATATTTTTGGCTGAGCCTATGGGCTCGGAGAAACCCACGTTAAACTTGGCCTTTGGCCACATACATTCCTTGTGGGGGGATGTTAAATATAACAGTCGAATAGATTGAACGCTTGGTCAGGCGATACACACTCACTAGTCGTGTAATAATCTACTGATGTACTTACTGTTTAATATAGTATATATCTTCTACACTTGTTTTGTTATTTCTTTAACCATTTTCACAACAGTTATCAAGACGTCTGCTTTTCTGGGTGGCGCCGAAACCCATTGTGATGCTATAACAAAGTTTTTTTTTTTCATTTACACACAGACTACTGAGATCATATTGATAAAATTTACCTGACAACTAGCAAGGCTTAAGATAAGAAGTAGAAAACAAAAGAAAAACCATACTATTCTGTAATGAATATGCTGCTATCGATGTTATGTTTTGAACTACGATGTAGTTTGAACATTAAATGATAATAAAAAAAAGCTTAACATATATAAACAAAAACAAACGATCTATAAACAACATATATAAATATAAACAGTAATATTCCAAAAGGGATATTAATATTGCAAAAACAACTGATATTCCAAACAGGTAAATTAATATTCAGTAAGAATAATATTTCAAACGAAACATTAAGATTATAATATTCCTCTACTTCTAGATAACATAATTTTTCACAAGGAAAACTAACATTCCAAGAAACTAGTACTTCATAAATGAACAGTATTGTGCCATCATTTTCCAGGAAGATTTTATTCCCAACAGGAATACTATATTTCCAGAAGAAAAACATTCCAAAAATATTATTCCTGGACGGAACACTAATATTCCAGAACAAAAAAAAAACTAATATGCTAGAACGGAACGATAATAACGCAGACAAAACTCCATAATATTCCTTAAAACTTTCGGTAAAAATAATATTCCAGAAAAGAACAATGTTTCAAAAATGATTATTATTATTATATAAAACATCCAGGTTGGGGCACTAATATTCAAGAAAACTAATATTCCGGAAATTTAATATTCCACAACGAACCAGTTACATTCAGAAATATTAATATTCTAGAACGGATAACTGGATAACTAATATCCAAGAAAATTTACACCAAGTAAAAATAGAGGAGAAAAATTTATAAAGAAACATTTGTGAGTTGGGCAATTTTATAAATATTTTTGGCAAAATGCTGATGATTGTAAAAATCCTCACTATTTACTATTGTTGAAGTTATCGCTATCATATTTGTCGAGATTTTCAAACTCTACTTTTGGTCCAATTTCGCAAAATTATCGATGAAATAGGAAAACTTAAAGAAAAGATATACAAAAAAAAAAACAATATTGCATTAAAAAGCGTTAAGAAGTATTCGACATTATAATCATTAAATTGTTTTTAAAATAGTGAGAGTATTTTTTTATGTTAAATATTAAAAAATTTCGTTTCTTCCCGAAAAATATAGGAAAATTTATTGTTGTAAACTATGCAGCCCATTAAAACAAATTGTACTTTGTACCCACTTACCTGTTTGCACTTCTCTCTGAAATCTGGTTTTGATCTGTTAATGTGTGGCTACTTTAGAGAGTGTGACGAACGGAAGGTCTAACGGAAGTCACAGAATTTTATATACAGAGGGTCATTTTTCAGTATATTTTTATCAAATGAATGCAGTGTATTTTACATCAAATACTACAGATACGGCGCAGCCAGTTAGAATCTAGTGATTTGTAAGTCTAGTTTACTCATTATAACACTACAATGATATATTTAACTTTTTCACCACGTTGGAAAATATTTCATAAGTAATACTTAC